ACTCTCAATTTCTGCCTAGTTTTTTTACAAATAAAACAACTGGGATCTCTGAGATTGGACAGAATATGGTAGAAAAAAACAGCTCAACTTGAGAAGAGTAATCGAAAGTTGAGGTCATTTTGAAAGTATAAGTCTTGGACCTGCTCAATTGTTAAGAGAAAAAAATGAAAAAAAAGTCAACTAGATTTGTATAAATAGTTGTAGCCAGTCGAATGCTATGCTGGTTATACCATTATATCTAAAGGAGTCCAAAAAGTGTCAAAGTCTTAATACATTATCCTATGCTTAAAATGCGATCTTCAAAAAAACATCATAGTACACTAGGGTAGTGTCTAGTAGCATAAATGCCTGCAAAACAGATCTTATGGACACTTATACTTCAGGCGACATTCCCTATGAATATGGACTGTCCACGATACTTCACTATCTTGTCGACCAACTGGAGCACGAGAACTGCGTGGAAGGCGTGTTGTCTTGGATTGCTGACACCCACTGCCGTAATGAGGCCTCCACAGACCCTCTGCTACCTCTCCACGTATGGCGAATCTTTCTGGTGCATCAAGAGAACCCTGCGATAGTTCAGCATGGCCTTGCCGTGCTTGCGCATTGCACCAGTGTTGGGGAGATGCGTCTTCAAGCGGCACGTCCTGTTGCTGCCGATAGTGGTGTCGAAGATCCAACATCCGCAGAGTTCTACGACACCCTAATTGATAATAGTACCTGCTGGAACGAAGCTAGCCTGGCTCTTGTCTCTAAGCTCGCTAATCGCCATGTGGAAAATATCCAGGTCCATGTAAATGTGTTAGTCCTGCTAGAAGCCATTCTCTGCCCTCTTGAACTCACTAATCTGGAGTTGGAGTCGCAGTTTATCTATTGGTCAAAGTGTCGAACCATTTTTCGAAAGATCTGTGAGATGGACTACCCAGAGATGATAACCAAAGCTCTAAAGCGTGTCCACATGGGTTATGCGAATATTCTACGAATAGCCCTGGCGGTGCTATGGAAGCTTAGCATTGATCGTGAGTTGGAAATCGTATTACTTTACATCTGTAGATGTGAATGCGAGACAGTTCATTGCAATGGATGCCTTCAAGCTGGTGTATGACGTGATGTTCTATTTCCCAAAGCATCCGAATATCATTAATCAAGGTGCTCTGTGTCTTGCTGCTCTGGTCTCACAAAGTATGTTTTCAAGACCTTTAGATAATAGGCTTGAAAGTGTCGATAAGAGTTGTTTCTAAGACGTTTCAAAGTTATTGACTTCATTCTCAGGAAAGGAACTTCTGGATTCATAGAACAGATCAGTGGATTTCATGAATTAAGAAGATACAGCTGGTTTCCTGTGTAGACTTCGATTTCTATGCTTACATCCCCGCTTTTGAATTTAACCAACAGCTAGGATGTAATTCTGGGGTTATATTTTTACAGCAGTGTTGAAAAGTCCAGGAGGAAATGGCCTCACTTCGCTACTGATGTGATTTTCTGACATTCATATCTGTAGATATTCATTTCGACATCGTCACATACGTCAGCTCAATTATACTCCTTGCTGTTAAACTAGTGTGGCATTAAATCTGCTCTCTTGGCAATTTTGTGCAGTCAATCATAAACCGTATCAACTAAACAGTCATCGGCACCACCTTATAAGAGGTTATGTCAGTTAGGGATTTTGGCATGGCCAAGTTCTCTACCGCCTTACATGCTGAAAGTTTTCCTCTTATTTCCTAGTCTTAAGGCATAAGTTATGCCATGTGTCCACTGCCACAGTCGTCTGCAACTCCAAGTATCGCCGAGTAGACTAGCTAACAGTATGAATATCATATGTTGATGTGTAAAAAACCGCAATTAAATTTACTATTGCAAGAAGTAAGCTTGTAGCGGCACCATTTTCGAACAAATCTTTCAGTACTTTGTATCACTAGTTCTGCGACTAGTAGTGTCAAATATTTCCCAATCACCCTAGTCGGATAGCTTTGCTGGCTTCTTTGACATCAGTTTAAAAGTCGTTGCCACACCCATCTGTCTTGAAACGCCTTCAGGAAGAGTTGGGGACAAAAGTATGCAAGTTTACAAGTGAACAAACAGTCGGATCCCTAATCACCTTTGAAGAAAGTCTGCTGGACGAAGGCGAGGGACCTTTTTTTGCTGAATGGAATACCTTTTAACACCTTTTAGAACAACTGAACGAGGAAACAATCACAAGTATTGACGTCGTGCCCCTTTTACTGGACTCGATTTATACGTTCTGCTTCTTTAGTGAAATTTGCTACAACCTCTTCTTTGCCGTCAAAGCAATAATTAACAGATCAGGTGAGAGGTGTTGATATCTTGTAAAAAATGTCTCGCGAACTCGAAATGGTAATCAAGGTGTGCACAGTCTTCCTGTGAAAGGACGAATTTGGGCCACCTTCGTGACCGTATGTTCAGTGTTGTAATAAAACCGATGAAGCGAGGTTAAGACTGCTGTAAATATTCTTTACACATTTGCACAGTGCACGTTTTTTTGTGCAGTTTTGCTCCATCTAATGTCATTGGTTAATGCCAGCAACAGTGTTGGCGCCAATAATGACCAACTGAACGTGGAGCTGTTCCTGTGGAATTTGTAGCACGATTTGGCCATGGATTTACAGTATCAAGAGGTGTGGCAAATGGCCCTGCCAACTCCGAACTAAAAGCGGATCATAAAAACGAAAATTTGCCTTCGTTTCCAGACAGTCCTCTACCATTCTAGATATCCTCAAATCTGACCTTAGTAATACTTTAGTTTTTTGAGTTACCGCCCGAGTCGAAATAGGTGGTTACTATAGCATTTGTAACTAGTAGGGAAAGAATCGTCCATAGAGTCTTGGCCTAAGCCTGCGTTCGTAGGAAGACGACCTTTTGAGATTTCGTCAAAAGGTTTGATTGAAAATCTAACGCAATGAAGAAGGGTATGGATCTAGACAATTGTCAGCCCTCATACGAATATAACTCTGAGATCTGAATACGCAGAAATACAGAGCTAAAGTCACCTCACAATAACATCACAATACGTCGCTGCTGTAAAGCATGCAGAATACCTATAACTTGGGTAATGCAAGTCATCAGGTCGGTGACGGTAAAACGGCAATCCCTCCAGTTAAGGAACGAAAAAATTGGGGGG